TTATTTTATTTTTTAGACGCCGCTCGCAGGCAGACGTAAAGCTGCAATCACAACTACATACAATCAATAATACATTATTAAATAACACAGTAACTCTTCTCCTGGGAGAAGCACTGAGGAGAAAATGACATATTGACTTTAAGAGAAACAAATCTTGAGCCAGCTCTACAAGTGAAGCTCGAGAGTTCTGAGCTTTTTTTGGGAGTTGCCCTTTAGACGAGGTCTGTAGTAATTACTGACCACGAAATAGTCAAAGTCTAGTATTTAACTGAAATGTATCGGGACATGGATCTCTCCTGTAGCCTGTGCGCCTCTTACCACTACACCCTGTTAGCTCTTTGCACAGATGTGGCTCACTAATTCCGTCTAATCCCGAATTTCTCACTCTCGTCTCATGAAACAGTATTCCAGGAATGACTGATGTTATGTCACAAGTCTTTGAGAGTCTTCCATCGAAAGATTCAACGGTTTCGGCCTTAATTTTGTAAGCAATGCGTTACACAATCGAATGCTGATGTTTTTGGCATTATACCTGGTCCAGAGATTAACACGTGGAAGAGCTCATTATCTTCGATGGCTCCTACAAAGCAGAAATCAGCGGCAAAAACAGTCTCATTTTAATGATTCTAGATCCTCTTCTTGGTATTTTCCACTCCTTTGCACCAGTCACCACCTCTGTTTCACAGTCATGTCCGTTGGAAATGGAAGCCTCTAAACACGAATTGTTGGAGGCAAAACGACAATCATAGGGATCATGTCGGACTTTTCTTTATCTTAACGGGGCAAGTTAGCTACTGGTCCCGCACAAAATGCACTGCTCTACGCAGCTGTCGCGACGCAGCCGCGCCGTCTGCACAGGAGGAAGTGGCACGCGTGGTTGACGGTTTTTTGCTGTGTCTTCTCCGCTTCCACTCACAGTTCTTGAATGCATCTGCTGCTGTTGGCGTAGAAGTTGCTACGTTAATCATGGTGGTCTCAAAAGATCTCGAGGATGGGTTTGACCTGGACAAAATTGACGCCGAAATTAAAATTGAGAAGATTCGACAAACAGCGTCGAAATTGTCCTGGGATGGCTTTCAGCAAGCGCTCCGGAGAAATCTTATGGTAAGAAACTTTTGATATTCTTCGAGTTACTTTATCCCTTGCGATTCAAATCACGTTTTTTTATTGGGACTCAACGATCAGAAATTGCGTAGTCAGGTAGTTTTTAGGAGAAACGTTTCGTTTTCGACACCGAAGGACGCATCGATTTGATACAAGCAATATCAACGATCAAGCGTAATTTGCCAGGTAAGAAGCCAATCATTATTTCCATGATGGATAGTTTGTCAGTGTAAGGAGAAAAGGATTCCCGGCTGCTCAATCCTTAATGAAGTGCGTGCTACGTTGTACTTAGATAACAACGAGGGGGGTGGTACCGGGGTTGAAGTTTATAAGGAGGGGGAGGGGTCTGTATCGCTTTCCGTCGCCGTGAAACTTGTGGTTTACTTGCTTGTTTTTGGTGAAATGCGAGTTTTCAGAAGTAGTGAGGCTGGGTGTTGGGAGCGCATGGGAGAAAAATTCGCCGTTTCAGCGCGCGTTTACCCCCCTTTCCCCTCCCCCACCTAGAAAATGAAGCAGTGGAATTATAGGTAGAAGTGGTGTAATTTGTGTTGAAAATTTAGGGATTTGGTAAATCGGTTATTGTTTCATAGCTTATAAGGGCGGAAGTGGTGTAGTGACAAGTGGCGCGCTCACCACGCGAGCGGTCCGGGATCAAATCCTGGGTCGTGAGTCGCCCGGGCCAACCAAGCCTTCCATCCCTCCGGGGTCGGTTAATTGGTACCAGACTTGTCTGGGAGGATAAAAACACTGACTTGAACATCGGCTGGCCCCCGCAAGTCATTGTATAGGCCACATCGCATTCAAATGCCACTGCGAATGTACAAATGGAAGTAGAATGCGTGCCGCATCCCAAAAAGGGATTGATCAACGGCAAATGCTTTATCCTTTATCCTTTTATTATACCCCATCAGACGCATTTCAGAGGAAAACGTGGGCGGAGTTTCGGGGGTTGAGTGACCAGAATTAAATACTATAGGTAGGAATATGGTGGGTCGAGGTGTGGGAAAGGGGTGTCGTACAAGTCCACCTTGGGGAGGGGGGTCGTAAAAAATTTTTGAAAAAGTAACAACGATAGGACTGACCCTGAGGTGCGGCACGCATTCTACTTCCATTTGTACATTCGCAGTGGCGTTTGAATGCGATGTGGCCTATACAATGACTTGCGGGGGCCAGCCGATGTTCAAGTCAGTGTTTTTATCCTCCCAGACAAGTCTGGTACCAATTAACCGACCCCGGAGGGATGGAAGGCTACTTGCGTGGCTCGCACAGATGGGCACGACCCAGGATTCGATCCCGAAAAAATAGTGGGCCCGAGGTTCCCGCAGCGAAAAATGTTTTGCGCTGCGAAATGCAAAAATTTCGCTTTCTGTCCTAGTGAGCCGCACTCACTCGATCCTCGGACCGCACTCGTGGTAAGCAGCGCGTGTGTGATCCGCTAGAACAGAAAGCGGTTTTTTCGCGTTCCACAGCTGATCATGAGTGGACCTGGAGTTTTCTCAGCGAAAAATGTGCTGCGATGGAACGCGAAGTTGCTTTCTGTCTATTGCCGCCCAAGCAGCCGCATGGCACCACACCACGTCCCGCCATAGCCATGCTCACAACTGAATCTCAAATGATTACAGTTTTGATGATGAGCGATATGTATCGTTATTATTTGCCGTCGCACAATCGCTTAGGTGGCACGATCCAAGCGTATCTACCCGCCCCCCCACGTATTGGCTTAGAAGGTTATACAGATAGGAGCGCGATATATGGTATGAAGTCAATTGTTACATTATGCTGAAGGTTCCCCAGGTTTGGCTGGCTCAAGCTATTCTTCAGATTTCCAGAGTCTGTAGTGGCCAAAGAGAAGCGCTATGCTTACGCACTGTTCCATATCTTTCGAAACGGTTTCGCGATCTGGAAGAGAGAGTCCAATGGGAAAGCATGATGGAATCACTGAGGGTTGCACTGTTCAAAAGGTATTTGCTGGGTAGTATCCGTTTTTTATGGCAATGTCAAGATGAATTATACATGGTTAGTTGATTTCAAAAATTTGACTGATCGGTCAAATAAAGTTGCCGCACCATAACTCTGCCATGTGGGTTTAAGTCTTTTCTATCTGACTATTACTTGCAGTTGATAAAAACGCAAGAACTACCCAGTGGGTTGAAGCAGCTCTCGACACGTCTGGAGTGAGTGCTATTGATTTGAAGTACATAAAAGAGCTCGGGTACAGTATGTGATCTTCGATGCCAAAGGCTAAGAGAGAAGTAAATTCTTTTCACTAGTGCGCGCGCGACAACACAGTCTTACACCAGAACAAGGTTTTGGCAGAAAAGGTAACATTAGGGCTCTTAGCGCGCTAGCCTCGCTATGGAAATGTTTTAGCGCCGCTCTTAAAATGTTTTTCAGGTGTGTTCTACTTGTTACACAGGCGGTTTAGCGGTCAGGAACAATATACGATTTTACGCTAGAGTTTGGAATTCGATGGCGCGAGGCTGATATAAGAATTTTTCTCTAGAAAGCTTAAATTTATGTAACGATTCACAGGTACTCTTGTAAAATTGGGTCGATGTTGGCAAACTGCGTTGTCTGTGGACGATGCCCTCTCCAATTGATAAGAGGCGGAGATATTTGGAATTGCGCTGCAAAATGTTGGGGCTGTAATAGCGACAATACCAAGCAGTCTGACAGCGTAAGTTGTTTGAATCTATGTTTCCTTTATATCTTTCAATTTTCTCGTTCTACACTTGTCACCAAGCAGAGTTTCTATGTTACAGTGCCGAGAAAAACATTTGTGTGAACGCCATCGATACATTTGAAGGATTTCTGTCCGCCTCATGTAACGTAAGCCCATCTTTTCGAAACCATCGGAACGCTCCATACGGCTTTCTTTTGTATCGTACGCACTACGACCGGCTAAGATTTTCTATACCGTGGAACCCAGCTATGTTGTCACCAAGAAAAGACCTCAGTTGGAGCTTTCAGGTTCGATTTCTTCTCAAATGTAACCTGCTTACTACAATTCTTGAGCGTCATTATTTTATCGCCTACTTCATTGGTTTTGTTGGCCATGAACTTTTCACATCAGGTGTCATTTTACAGATTTCGACAATCTTGACCACATGGAGCTATCGGTCGTTGCCCTGGATAAGGAGATACAACTGCCAGCAGGAGATTCGCGGTGGGTTTTATCTCTGTTCATGCATCTATTTCATGCAAGCTTTACGAATCTTTTCAATGGCTTGATTTTTTAAATCTTAACACATTGAAGACCGTGTGATTTGATGTCATGCCACGATTTCACATGAAGCAAACTAGTTTTCCTTAATTTATTTAACGTTTTTTTGTTCCACAACTGTTCATGTGCATTATTGCATCCTAAAGCATTTTTTTCTTCCCTCTTAATGAAAAACGTTGGACGGATTATAGCTAACTGAGGGAAATGAGGATTCCAAAATGTCGAATGCCAGTACACGCATAACGGCGGCCGTCAACGTCTTAAACATTCTGATAATTTTCGATAACAACATTCCCTTTACTAACTCTTGACGAGAACGAAAATCGCACTCTATTCTATTTTGTTCTCGTGATAGTTTCTTCATTTATCACTTCTGTTATCGTATCGAGTTCCGGTTTATTGAGGATACGCTAAATACATCAATTTGCCAATACGTATAGAGAAGAAACTCTCAGTTGATGATGGAGGTATATATGATGCTGCATCGAGCCGCTTACGGTAGACTCGATTATTTCATTCTCACAGCTCTAATTCTCGGTGCTCCTTTTTCCTTCAACTGTACCTCACGCTTCTACTTACCTAAACCTGGGACCTTTCATGGTCTGTTCTCTCTTGGAACATGCTCACTTGTCAAGTTACTCATTTTCAGCAATCCTTGGTCTACAGTTTCTCCATGCAAAGGCTGGTTTTCAACTACGCTTCTCTTCGCCGATGCTGTTTAGTTATGGAATTGTGGCGGCGCCTAGAACGCCATCTAGCAAGGCCTGCAGCCGTAAAAGAGAACGTAAACCTGTATCGATACATGAGCGGTTTCAAGTTTGAGGTAATTTCTCTTCCATTGATTCTAAAACTCCCACATTTCGAGGTTCTTCAAATTTATGGTCTTTTTCAGCAATCTGAGCTACTTATGCGTACATGCTTTCCGGAACCATTTCGCCAACATTGGTACACTGTGTGTACAAATTCTCTCCTTAGAGGAGAAGCTGCGTCAGATCTGAGTTTGCACATAGGAAACGGCTCCGATCTTGCCGAGGTGAGAGCACCCGTGTGGCACATTACTGAAAGAAGCTTCAAACAGTAGCACATATTCGTTGCTTTTAGATAGTTTCTATCGTACGCGCGCAAGCAATACATAACAGTCTCTGGGAGTCGCTGCTTGCGATGACCAGTGGTAAATGGAAGGAGGGACAGCCCCATGTGGATATTCGCATCGTTCCATCAGCAGCTCGTTACGAGCTCTCGTTTTGTGTGGCTAACAAAATGTACCTGGGTGAGTTTCTCTCTATACACTCTGCTTCTTTCTTGAGTTAGCCCTTCGTTGTTCTTTGGCTTGTTTGCGGACATTTCCACATCGAACTAGATAGCTTTTCAAATGTTAGGTGTTTACAGTTCGAATTGAGCTGACGAGGGAATTCGAATGGATAGGTAGTGTCGAGGATTCAACTGGCGTTCCTGTGCGCATGGAGCTTAATTCTTTGTTGACCACAAGGATCAATGCGTAAGTTTTCAAATGACGCTGCACTAAAATTTGAAAGGACCTCTCATACAAAGTACATGTCATTAAGATTGATTGTTACATGCTTGTTAACACATTGACGACCGCAGTCGTGCGTCCATTGCTGCAACTTCTTTATATTTTTTTTTTACCTAAAGTCGCTTCAAAATTTTTATCATTAGTAATGTACCGCCGGAGGGCCACGCTGTCGTCAGTGAGTTAGAAATCTTCTCCTTAAATATGGGGAGTGGCTTCCTTTGGAAGTTGGTTGAGCTCCTCCATCTACTATCGTAGTGAGCTTCCAAGTCTTTGTGAAGCTGATGGTTGGCCGTGAACTGCGTTGGTGAGGTTGTGGTTAAGAGTACAGATTATTAATTTTCCTGAGAAGGCCGATGAATTCAGCAGGTGAGCTGGTCGCTGTGCTCAACATTGTCAATCACTCAAAGGAAACTGGGCTCAAATTTGCGCTTTCTGGTTATGGTACGTGTCAGACTTCGCGAATGCAATTCGATGCAGTCGCGAGTGAGGCGGAGTGCGATGCCAAAATCACCAGTAAGGCCGCGTCAGAGTCCGCGATTCGCGCGAATCGCGCGATGGATCACAGAAATCACAAGTGCCCCGATCAATACTGCGAGGTGCTCTCCAATCCCGCCGCCATTTCTGCTTGATGGTGATGGTTGAATGACGACTGTTCATGATTCTACTTGTTTCATATTCAGTGTTTCAAATGTTCACTTGCGATTCGCGCGAATCGCGCGACGAATCGCGGACTCTGACACCAGCCTGAGGCGGAGGTCGCAGTGAAACCGTACAGCTTAATAACCACACGCCCCACTGATAGATTCGCGCCCTGCCCCACTCACTAGTGCTATCGCATTGCATTCGTGATGTCTGCCACCTGTCTTATAGGGATAAATTCATGAACTTTCACGCCGTAAACTTTGAACCTTTTCCTCACTGGTAGAATGCCTGCGATTTCGTTGATGTCTTGACGTTTCAGGACTCGCTCCATTCCTGTTGCGATGGTTAAGGTGCTGAAGGAACTCGGATGCGAAGATGTCCGTTGTAGTGGAGCCGGCGCAAGTCAAACTGCGATGGAAACGGATAATGAATCATGTGTATCAGGCATGGATAAAGTTGGCACTGCTTGGTTGCCATTGTTAAACAGAAGCAAGGTCGCAAATAAACGTCCACGAGCATGTGTGCCAGAATTCACTTTCGAGGTGCATTCTGTGCCACTAGCTACACCTGGTGGACTTCTCGCGTCTTACAAGGAAATCACGACAGAGAGCGGCACTCGTCCACCAGCCACTGCCCGAGCTGAAGCTCGTACTCAACGTGTTCAGTCCGACACAGCCCTCGCGATATCAGATCTGGTACGAAAATTGGGTGGAAACGTGACAAAAGTGGCTCGAAAATGGTATCTCAAAGTTTTATACATCGCCTCTGCTAAAACTTCGCTACTGCAGTACTGCACTCACTCTCGATAGATGGTGTAGTTCTTCTTTAGTGGACGTGTATAGGGCAGATAATAAATACCCTTTACCATCTTGAGTCACTTTTGCACTAATTCGAGCAGCTGACGTCAGATTATCATCATGTAGACAGTAGTTCGTGAATTATTTCTGATGTGGTGAAATAGGAAGATACGAAAACCTTCGGAACGTTAAGTTCGCTCAGTGGGATGTCTAGAGAATGATGGCAGTCGAGCGTCAGTTTGTTCGGAATCCCCTGACGGTGCATGGACAGGTTGAGTGTGATATTCACATCTTGCAGGAAGCGATATGTCAGCTAGCTGACGGCATGGACGACGATAACAAAACACCGACGCCATTGCTGTCGAGCCGACACTCAACCAGTCCGGCACCGTCACGTCCACCTGGATGTGTTGGAGGGAGCGGTCCTGGCAGTGGTGTACCACAACTGAGCCCTTTGGAAACGGCTCGGTTGAAAATGACGGTGAGTCTAGTCGCAGCTAGTTTCTCAGTTTTCGGAAATCGCCCAAAAACAAAGCTGGTCTGGACTTCAAAACAGCATGTTGTGAAGCTGATGCCCAATTTTTCGTGTATCCAATTTCTCACAGTCAAGCGTGCATTGAGGAATCGCGACACATGGACACATAATATTTATCTGACCTACTCTCAAAAGGGTTTTTCTTCGAGATGCCATCGCTGAAAGTTTTGAGGGTGTTTGAAGTCAAGTAACAGAGGAAAATACAGTGCTACGCTGCTTTGTTTATGGCTTCCTCGCCGGCTGTCCTCGTTTGTCGCTTTTCTGGCAACGCCATGCTTCATCCTGCTGAGTAGACTTTCAAGACTCAAGCTCAAGCAGGAAATTCGTTACCCCAAAACGTCAGGAGTGCTTCTACAGTTGCGGTCAAAAGTGTTCGCCGGACGGTTTTTTGTGCATTAAATTTTCCCTCTTGAAAAAGTCTTGCAAATTTTTTTTGAAGAATTTTCTTCCGCATGCCTTGAATCCTTAGAACTCAAGGGTTCGAAACCACTAGAAGACACAAGAATCAACACTAAAAAACTAAACTAGTCAGGTGAGAAATATTATCTACGAAAACGCTTCGGCGAACTTTTTGACACATACTGCAGATGAATCGTGAAAAACGTACTGTTAAACCATATACAACTGTACACATATATGAACTGCTGCTAAATTAGCTGGGAGCTGTATTGATATTGCTTGTCAGAAGTGTTCTGTAAAAGAGACGTCTTAAAATGAAAAGTCCGCTCTGGCTGATTTTCACATCTCTAAGAAGACTGAGAGTATCATGTAATATGGCCTGTACCTTCAAGAATCTTTTTTTAAACTGCTATCATCCAACAAAATTGTATCAGTATTCGAAATGTCTCAAAGGTTATTACGTTCAAATATTGTTGTGCTAGGAATCCGTCCCGGTTTGTATCTCAATCCTCCCAGCTGAAGTCTATTCAACAAATAAAATTGAACAGCATGATCGATCAGATTCCTAGAATAAGCTCTTTGTCTCATCCAGGGAGGGGCATGTGGTGCAACTGTTGCCACCGCCTACAAAAGCTACAATTTTCGTAAGGGGAAGGAATCCTCGACTGCGTGAACCCTTGCTCCCACTTTTACACCCACTCGTAGCCTCGTGCCCCTGTGAAAAATGGATTGCTTCATGCTGTATGAACTGTCGCGCCACATGCCCCCTCCTATTGGATGAGACCCTGATTTCTTGAAATATGGGATATTTGAGTGTAGTTATTTTTATGTAATAGTTTCTTATTTCAAAACAATCGGATCTTCT